CTCTTCATATTTTTCAATGCTTTTTAAGTTTTTATCTCATAAGTTAGACATTAATCTCTATAATGCTTGCTACCAGGGTGTGTATGTCTAAAGGATATAGCTTACATTGACTGTTTTTGACCTTCGGTCATTTCCAGGTTTGTTGGTGAGGGTTCTTGGCTACATATTCTAGGGTACATGTGCCTGAGTTTCTTTAGACTCCCAAGGAGTAAAAAGATGCTTATGTCAGCAAATAATGCCAAGACATAGAAATATATACTCCCACCATCAAGTAAGAGAGCTCTTATTCCAAAGTCCCATTACCAGTAACTAATTTGGCCAGGTTTTTGTTCTTATCTATAGTAGGCTTGTGATAGAAAGCTTCCATCCTTCCTGCATGCCATCTTTCCAAGGAACAAGAGTGTGACCTCTTTCAGAGATTGCCACTTCAGATATGTGACTCAAAACCACTTGACTAGGTTGTACGTAAGTGTATGGCTGAGTATATTGCAGACCAGAAGCTGAATGTGCCTACATTACCAAACTCTGGTAATTTGTTTTCAAACTAGCCCAAGTCAGCTGGAATTACTGTCTCTCACAGGACATTTTTAAAGCACTCAAAAAATTGTGTGAATGTTAAATCATCATTCTTGGTATTTCCAACCACTATAGTATGGTTCTAATACCATAGATGTGGTCAAATTTGGTCTACTTCTCCCCACCCTACCCCCAAAATCATGCAGGCCCCAACCCTGGCCAAATATTTTACCACTATAACCTGAGGTGCCCATTTCTTACCTTGTGCTCAGCTACAAAGCAGGGTCTCTGTTGCTATGGAAGAAGGGAAGACGGACATTGGCAGCCTTGATCACAGGTTCTTTCTGGGATCACTTTTCTCTATCTTTGTTTACTGAAAAGGTCTATTGTCCTAATTCTTGAATAGGAGAGCTGAGTTAAACTTTTTATCTCAAAAAAGGTCTACTGTTTTGTCAGTATTGACAGGGAACAGTCAGGCATCTTTTTTCTCTTTGCTTTCAAAAAAATTTTTTTGGTGTGTCCATGATTCCTCAACAATGTAACGGAGAACAGGTTTTCAGTCTTTTCTCTTTGATACTTAATGTCCTCATTCTCTCCTCTCCCTCTGCAACTGTTAACTAGATGTTTGACTTTCTAATTTAACTTCCCTTCCCTTATTTCCTGTCCTCTCCTCTGCTTGTAATATTTTCATATCATTTTCTACCCACTACATTCCCTCTTTACAGTGTCTTATTTCATTAACCCACTGTCTTAAATCCGGTACTTTTTTCATTTCTCAATTGCAAAAGCACAAAGAATTTGTAATTAATTTTGAGAAAACAATTTACCTTACAGTTACATGTATATGAAATGATACACATGAATAAAAAACAAATTCCATAAGGGATTCTGAAGCAGAAATCAAACCAGCCCATTGACTCCTTTCAGACTTGAAAGCCTGTGAATCCCCTGTGCAGGGTCATCCCATGTGTGGCCAGAATAGTCTGAATTCCCCCTTGTAAATCACAAATGGAAGCTGTCCCGCCGGTTAGAGTAGGATAGGGTAGTGGATGGAAGTAAACGCGCAGAAGTCCATGGCTGAGGAGGCAGTGAAGGGCCTGACAGTGGAGACAAGGTAACACTTCGGACAATGTTGGGTACTCTTTGCATGCATGAGATGAGGCAGTCTCCCACGGGGAGATAAGAGTGGGCGCCCTGAGGGCCTTATCTTCCAGTGAGGGCATAGCAGGCGATGACTGCAGATAGCCTTTCCTGGTTCCAGCTCATCCCAGAGTTATCTAAATAAAAACCTGGGTGTTTTCCATGGGTTGAGCAGTGGAGCACTGCACCCTTCACATGACCTGAGCCCCAAGAAAACCCATGGCTTCTGGTCCAGATCCCCAGGAAGGTAGAAGCCCTCTCATCTCCGCTTAATGAGATTGGGCTGGCACTGCTCTTTCCAGAGGGGTTTCTCTCTTGTGATTCTCCCCAGTGATTTTCTGTCTCCTCTACTCTTGATAACCAGTGGCAAATCTTGCTTTACACAAGCTTAGTGTTTCTCATCCTCACCTCATAGAAAATTGTTAGCCCATCAGTTACTTGCCTCCCCATTCAAAACTAACTGCTGGCAGGTTACATGACAATTTTTGCTTCTATCCACTGCTCTATTCCCAAAGCACAGAACAGTGTCTAGTCCAGAGTAAGTGCTTAATAAATATTTGTTGATTTTACTTAAGATTCTTTGCCAAGGTAGAATTGGGTAATTCATAGATTGTTCCTTTTCTTGCAAAGGTAGAATTGGATCATTATTAGGGCAGTCGTTAAAGTGATACCCTGAAACAGCATTTGTAGAATTGCAGCGGGCTCTGCTCTACTAAATAAGTTCGTTTGGAGCAGGCTTTTCATGAACTTAATCTGTCTTGCATAAAAGGTCTAGATTGCTCAAGCAGCTCAGAAACCTCATGGCAACATTGACAATACTAGAAATCCTAGAATATGGGTTGAGCTGTTCCAAAGGGATCCCTGTAGTTTCTTAAAAGGGTACCATTTAATATCTTTTCCAAGTTTCAGAATAAGCTTATCAAAAGATGTGTAAAACCCCTTTGGGAAAACTTAAAAATGTTATTGAGGGGCATAAATATGAGAAACTTAAGATACAGACTGAAAACAATACTGTGCATCAGTTGTTGCTGTTATAAACACTGAATCCATCCCCAACTGTACACTAGTTGATTAAAAAATGTGCCCATTAAAAACAGTGATAGCCCAGACTCTTGAAGAGAAAGTAAGAGGAATGCCTTACCCCTTGCCACTAAAATTGCAGTGAGGGAGGAAGTAAAGTAGCATGGCTCAGGAGCAGAGGAAGGAGAGGCCAGGACCAGACTCGGCCTGGACGGACCTTGGACATTTGAGGTAGCATTTCTGAGCAGTGAAGAGTGTTTTCAACAGAAAATGCTAAGGCTTGAGGCTGTTTTCATAGGATTTTGTGTGTGGTTCTGAAAGTTTGCTAACTGAAGTCAGTTTAAAACTGACAGGAGGGAGCTGATGGCCAGAACATGGGAACCACCCAAGTGGTACATGGATGTCTGACCTTGCAAATGTTGCCTTCGCAACTAGGGATGAAAAGCACAAACTTGGAGGGGAAGGAACACGCCACACAAGAAGAAATGCTATGATTCCATTTGTAGGAAGCTCAAATGGCAGCTCAACTATTCTTAATTGGAAGGTGATTGTTAGGGAAATCAGTCTACCCATCCAAGGGATTGCAGGAGCTCTGTAACTTCAGGGAGGGCTCCTTTCCATTTCCAAATTTGTACAACAGCTAGACGCTGGAATACACTGATGTCTATCATCATTGCAAGTAGGATGAGCTTCAGTCTAGTGGCCCTGTAACGTTAACATGATACAGAGAACACATGCCAGCTACATGCCAGACCCAAGCTAATCGCTGTGTACACATCTCTGAATCACAACAGCTCCATCATGACTCCTGCTTTGTGGCATAGTCACTTGGAGAGCTGGAGACATCTTTTGCCCATAACCCCACACTTGGTATGGGCTGGGCAGGACATGTCTGATTCCAAAGCCCAGACCGTCTCGCTGTGTAGCACACCAACAGTATTACAATGACCAGAGCCCCTCCCAGGCCGCCTGGTATGTGAGGCTGCTGTTTTGCTGGGCCATGGCCCAGACTAGTCCCAGTATCACCCACCCACACCAGAACACCACCCCAGGGGACCGCCTGCGTGCAGCACATCCTCAATGCCCAGTGAGCCCGCGACTTTGATGTAGATAATGTACAACATCCTGAAGTTGAAGGCAGGTAGCACAAACCCCTGTGCAGCCAGCTGTGAGCCTCAAAACAAAGTCCCAAGAATAGGTACCCCAAGTCTCACTGGGAACCCCCAGCTCTTTAAGTGCTTATTGTCTCCAAGGTTATTAACCACTTATTCACTCGAGCACTTATTAGCATCTACGTACCCCGTGCCAGATTTTGTTAGGCCAATTTCAATGGTAATGCTGACTCCTCTTGTACTGGGGACATGTCGGGAAAATGTGTTGCGACCTCCTATGGCAGCAACTCCTACTGTACTTAAGGTGAAGAAAGGGGAAATCTTTACCAAGTTCTGTATGGGATCATTTCTTTAAGCTGTTTTTAGCTTAAAAGCTCCTATAAGCTTAGAAGACAAAGCCCCACAAATGCCTGGAGCTGTTAACCATAAATGTTAAATCTTTCATGTCATGTTCCACAATAAAGTAAAAGAAAAAAGTCTTGGCCATCTATTTATTCCAAGATTGAGGTAGCAGTTCCTGGACATAGGTACAGGTGGTAGGCTGCTCACTCCACTCCAACCAAATGGTGTTCATGAAACTTATTTTAATCACGGTCTCCTAAGGAGCGGACTACAGCAAACCGTGGAGTACTCAAACCTGCCTGTGTGTGGGTGTGCCGGTTCATGGTAAATTGGGGCGGGGCTTCACAGACCACCCAACAGGCACGACCAAATGAGTTCTGAACTGGCAAGCATGAGACAGGTGCTGGCTGTGCAGCTCTGTACTGATTCCCAGCTGGGTGTCCTGGTTTGTAACCCTGGTTGGGACAAGTGTGGGCAGCTAGATCTAGACAGTTCTCAGGGAAAACAAGAGCCTGGACCCAATTTCTACCTTGTCCAAGGATAACACTGAAGCAAAGGGTAGAGAGGAATGCTAGGGATCCTGGTTGAGATTCACGAAGATGGGTTGGGTAGTATCTGTTTCCAGATGGTGTCAAACCAGGGATGACCCATATTGACCTTGAGGATGTTTGAGCTGTGGGGAGTGCCCTCGTGACCTCAGCGCCATGAAAGGTGGCCAAGGGAATAAGGTCACATGGATATCTTGTACATTTCTCAAGGGAGTAAGGTAGGAATGTGAGTCATTCAGGTTCAACACATGGATCCATTGCAATTTCTCCATTTTCCAGTAGGCCCTGTTACTGTGAAATCAGTTTTGAGATACATAGAAAATGGCCAACATGGAACAGCATTTTAATACAGCATGAAAATACTGCTACTCATACAACCCTCTCACAGACCCTACAGACAAAAAAGGGTGAGGCTTTTGAAGCAGAAAGTTTCCCAGGCCTGCCGCTTAGGTTTGTTGCTGGATTCTGCCGCTCGCTGGAGGAGGAAGCTCCCGCAGTGTGCGGCTGGCCCACTAGTAGCTGTGGCCACCCTGACCACATTCCCAAAGAATGCTATGGTATGACGGACAGGATGACAAGGTTCCTCATACCACCTTGTATAAAATCTCACGCCTGTAAACTGAAATGGACATAACTTTTAAAAACTGTTTATTTTCCGTTAACCTTACTTCCACTTTCTGTCCCTGTCAGAAGAACAGCTTAAGACCACTCTGTGGTGGTTCCCACCCACTCAGTGGCTTGAGCGGTGGGGGCTGCAGACCAGTCTTCAGTGGCAGGCTGGGCACTCCAGTCTTCTGTTAGGAAAACACACAAAAAACCCATTAGCTTCATTCCCAAACTAGTATGTCTGTCTCCCCCCAGCCACCACCTTTCATCAGAAAGGCATCTGAAGGATGACGACCAAGATTAGCACACTTCAAAAGCTAATGAGTTTATCCACTTACTAGTGCACCTTCAGCGCCCTGGGCTGGAAACTTTCACGTTGCTACCGACAGGCATGGATATTTCAGTTCCAAACTGCCAACCACTTTTATCATGGCACTTACCAGTAGGGAACTGCTGAATAGGCACAGAGGGCACCTGAACGCCCTCAGACCAGTCTGCCACCTCAGGCTGGGTAGCAGTAAACTCGGGAGCTGGAGCCGTCCACTCGCCCTGAAACTCCTCCTTCGTCACAGCCTTTTCAGCAGCAGCCTGCTCTTCCTTTTCAATCTATAAGAAAGAACATGTCTGTAAGGACTGACAAATTTTAATTCCATGAAACAGACCAGTTTGCCTTACGTGATCACAAGCCTTCATGGAGGAAGCTCACCTCTTCAGGATCCCTGTAGAAGTAGAGATCAGGCATGACCTCCCATGGGTGCTCACGGGAGATGGTGCCACGCATGCGGAGGACTTCCCGGGCCAGCATCCACCACATGAGACCCACGGAGTGAGCTCCCTGCAAGAGGCCAGATTATTAAAATGGGACAGTAGGCAGCCCCAAACAGCACCCCATTCCTTACCTGCCCCCATATAATCCAAGTATCTGGTATCAAGAAAGACTCTCATTCCCAACCTCGATTGTATACTGGAACCATTAACGATTTTTAAAAAATTACCAAGACTCCACCATAAAGGGCAACAAAATGTTACCCCTGGAATTAGTGCAGGGCCACTGCTAATTTCAACAAGCTCTTTGAGGGTGATTCTTTTGTGGAGTAAGGGTTTTGAGACCAGCAATAAGCTAGACCCATTTTGAACCACATGTAATCCGCCTTTTTGGCTGTTAAAACTGAATTCAAGTCTGTAACAGAAAAGGTTAAGTAGTGTCTGAGGCCCAAACAGAGCAAGAAACAAGATTCTTCAAAGTTCTTACACATTAGAATGTACTTGTAGCAAGGATTATCATCAAACGCCCCTCATCGGGCCGAGACCCTTGTGGCGTTAGTAAAAACCTTGCCCCTCGTGTAGCACACTACCTACACTTGCGAGTTCACCGGCCAGCCAGTGGCCTCAACTCCAAGCTCTAACAATGTGCAGAGCAATGCCCAATTGTTTCTAGAGCCCACCCTTAAGCTCAAGACATAAAAATGTTACCTTATTATTGCAGGGGATGGCAATGTCCACATAGCGCAGGGGCGAGTCTGTGTTACACAGAGCAATGGTGGGCAGGTTAACGTACGACGCCTCTGTGAGAGGCTGGTGGTCAGCCCTGGGATCAGTGACCACCAAAAGTCTTGGCTCCCGGAAAGCTGCCTGGATCTGGTTAGTGAAGGTTCCAGGAGTGAAGCGGCCAGCAATAGGAGTGGCTCCAGTGGCAGCGGCAAACTTCAGCACCGCTCGCTAAAGAATGAACAGAAGACTTAGCATACTCTCTGGAGGGAGTCACAGCCAACTCCACTGTGAAAATGTGCTCACACCCAGGTCTGTAATCATACCATGTAGCCTACGTAACTGACACCCTCAAATACTCCTTTTTCCAAAATGAAAGCATCAAATTAATCACTTGTAACCACCCAGTAACAATATCCTCCCTGGAAAGTTAGAAACACACTGAGCATGTTCCCAAGCCCAGGCACTCTCCCTTCCTGTGGGCTATGCCCACTCGACAGATTCAGGTGTCTGCGGCTCCTTGGCTTTCTCCAGATCTACACTGCCCAGTTCCAACAACCAAGCAGGTACATGCTTTGTCCAAGTTACTCACACGCCTCCCAGTCTCTCAAAGGGTGTGAAGAAGCAGCTCTACGCCAAACAATGCCTGGTATCCTAGAAGCCTCCTAGCTGACCTATATATAGCAGGAATACAACCAGCACTCTTTACTGCACTCATTTCTTCCAGAAAGGGGCCAAAGTAGATTCGCTATTTTTCTACTATATCCCAAGTACCACTGTCTGGACTAAATCTAATTGTTCAGTTTTTGCTTAAGAACCTGAAGGATGACACTAAGTTAACTCTTACAGACATAGTCAAAACTCTTCTATTTCTATTGTGTACCGCCTAAACCCCTGGGCAAAAAAAATTGAGAGCCAATTTTCTTATCAAACTTAATCGTGAATGAAGGTTTTACTCTATTACCTTTAAAATCTGTCACAACTTGTTTATCTTTTGAATGAGAATGAAACCCCTGTAAAAAGCACTCCTAAGTCAAATTTCAATAATTTTTCTAACAGAAAAATCCAACTGTCAAAATAAAAATGGAAGACTAAAACTAGTTTAACCTCAATTACCATTAAAAAGTTAAGTTACAAACCTGGCCAGTGTTCCTGGATGATATGACACTGACATCAGCAGGATTTTCAATGGCAACAATGGCACGAGCTGCCAGCAGAAGCTTCTCCCAGGTTCTCTTCAAATTTATGATGTAGATGCCTAGGTGACAGCAGAAGATTTAAACATTTGACCCGATATTGGAAATGGATCCTGTTCTGCAAAGCTGAATGTGGCAGTGAGTACTATCAAACGCCAGTCACAGAGGCAAGCTCTACTGGTGTCAGCGAAAATCCTGCAGTTAATGTAGCACACTTCCGACACTCAGGAGCGCACTGGCCAAAACTGGCCTCCACCCTGAGCTTTAATAGTGTGCAGCCTTGAGTCTGTAGCTAAAACTTTTCTCCTTTGTGCAGAATCAACTCTAGCACACTCCCATTTGGATTTCCACAGTTCCTATCCGTTTCCCAGGCCTCTCACTTTCCTTAATCACCTTCCATGTCCAGGCCCTCCATGGTGGCACAATAAGCAAGTTAGGGCGCTGCACTGCAAGATAGCTGTAGCTGCTTCAGAGTTTGATCCATGGCACTGGAGGTGACCCACATGGTGCAGACCTCTCCTGCCCCGCCCGCTGCTTCCCTCAACAATGTACTTCACTGATTTGCCTGTTCTTCTCCCCACTATGTCTCTTGTGAATCCTCTTACTGCACTTGCACCTCTGGCCTGCACCCCAGTTCTAGATGCATAAATCTTAAAAAAAGTTAGTCTTTAATAAAAAAAAACAAAATTAAAAAACTTCCATGTCCTTGTCACAATCTACCCTCCCTTACCATGTCAAATTGTTTACGCCTATCTCCTCTAGTTTCTTCAAAGCAAACCTGTATCAGTTCTGTGTAATAAGGATCTGTGGGAGACAAGCTATCAGAAACTGAGCTTCCCTCTCAATCCAACCCAAGTTCCATAACATAGTAAATGGCACTTGTCCATCTTTCCTCCCCCAACAACCAGAACACTAACTCCATAGTTTCAAGGCTTATTTCTAACCCTGAAATCTGATCTCATACTTATTAGGGAACTGCAAGACAATCTAATAATTACCTCGCCCAGTACTATACACACCACCACCAAATCTTAGCTTTATGTCCGGAGTGACAAAAATGCAAAGTACTCACTAACCATCACTTTTCCTTTTGTAGATGTACTGCTCCATCTGGAAGTCAAGGTTGGTGCCACCTAAGTGGGTTCCTGCTGCAAGAAATTTGAGGACATCCTCCTCTTTCATTTGCAGGACATCAAGGGCTCCGGACATTGTTAAAGTTTCCCTTTAAGTTACGCTGGGAACCTGAAAAACAATAGCCAACCTAGTCCTTTTCATCCCAGTGATAGAAATACGGTGGAGGAACAAGTGCATTCTAACTAATGGAGGCCAGCAACTTCCCATGTAAGTGCCACTAAGAACTAATGCCTTCTGAGCTCACTCTAGCAGAATGCAGTGAGACACATGCCACCCCACACTTAGGGAAGTTACAGCGAATCATCCCCGTGCGCGGAAAGGAGCTGAAGCGCTTGCTAGGTAAACGAAAATCGCGCAGAGACCTAACACTTAAGCTACTCAACAATTATGGAGAAGCAAACACAACCACCAGAGCTGAAGCAGGCCTGTCCGAGGTATGCATAAGCTGAGCCAAGCGGCTAAGTGGGAGCTTCCGGATGACTTCTTCCTGGGGTCATAACTGGTTTTCTTCAAACCCTTCACCGGAACGAGAGCTACCGTAAGCTGGAGCCTGGTCCACTGCTGGGGCCCGCAGCCCGCAGCCCAACTTAGTCCCAGCCCGGGTTCCGCTCCGGCGCGACCTCCCAGGGAATTGTGGGAGGCCGAGGCCCGCGCTGGGCCACGTGCAGTCCGGCGGAGGGCGCCCGGTCGGGGCAGACAGACTCGGCCTATCAGTACACTGGCTTTAGTCCTCGGCTCTAGAACCCCTCATATGACCAGGGAGCGCATCCTGATGGCCCTGGGGACGCAAAAGACACCTTAGCGGACTCACTCAGAACAACGCCGTATGGACCCCTCTCTAGGCAACGCGGAAAGGAGCGGGTGGCGGAAATGACGTTATTATATACTCCACTGCCAGCCAATGACAACGAAAGGCGGGCGGAAGGAGGGCGGAGCCGGAGCGTCGCGTCACGAGGGCGGGCCTTTTCCTTCCGAAAGGCGGGCCTGCGGCGCTGGCGCACACTGAGCGGGGCAGAGCGGTGGCGGGGTGCTGGTGTCTGCGTGGCAGTTGCGGGGTTAGGGGTTTTCGGTGGCGTTAGGCTCTTGGCGACCTTTGCTGCTGTAATTCCTGTGCGGGACTTGGGGCCTGAAGCCCGCCTACCCATTGGGGTTGCAGCTCTGACCCAAGCTTGTGTACCTGTGAAGCTGAGCGGGTCCCTAGCCTGAGCCGCAGTCCCTGGATGTGGGAAGGAGTGTTACCAGCCTAGGTAGGTTATAAGCCGAGGCGGCAGAAAGTTTCTTGGAGGGCAGTTTGATAGCACCTCAGTCCACCTTTGGGAATGCTTTCCGAGAAAATGAGCAGGACAGGCTGCACAGATGCTACGCTACGCTGAGAGTTTTTGTTATCGAAGTTGTGTTATCCATCAATAGGAAATACTTAGTCCATGATAATACTGTATAATCATGAAGGTTGAATGAGGAAGATTTTTTGGAAGAGATTTATTTATTTATGCACGCAGAACTGGGGTACAGGCCAGAGGTGCAGGGGATTCACCAGAGGCAGAGTGGGGAGCAGAACAAGTCGACTAATGAAGCACTGCTGAGGGTAGCAGCGGGTGGGTCAGGAGAAGTCTGCCATGCCATAAATTGAAGCACTTTGTGTCAGATGATTGTAGATGGCCTCCCCAGTGGCCAGGGGTTAAAGTCAGCGTGATCAAGCTATGTATGGCCAGCCACTATGGCCTGTAGCAGACCTCTCCTGACCCGTGCACTGCTTCCCTTAGTGTATTTCAGTAGATTCACCTGTTCTGCTCCCTATTCTGTCTCTGGTGAATCCTCTCACCCCCTGCAACTCTGACCTACATACAACTCTGACCAGATCTTGTATACAAAAATAAATAAAGTCTTTATAAAAAAAAGTTGTAAATAACCAAAGCCAATGTATACACAGGTTTCAACCCTGCTTGCAGTTAGCTAATTACCTGGAGGGTATCTAAACTGATGCCAAAATCAAACCAAGAAAGCTCGAATTTTAAAAAAAGGGCCCCTAGGTAATTTTAATGTGCATTCAAGGTGAGAACCCTACAAAAACAAGTAGACACTGGGTAGGATCCCTCAACCCCCTTGCTATTTTGTACTTTTTAATTTTCCGGAGGAATACAGGTTTTTAAATGGAAACAAAAGCCCCACAGCATTTAACAAAGAACTGGCACTGAGTCAACTTTGTCATGGTTTTTAACATCTTTAGAAATGGCTGAAAATATCTGGAGATTTTAGCTCTCAAAATAGAAAAAAAAACAAACTTAAAATGTTCCATGAAAACTGAATGACTTGCTTTTATGGCACTTTCTATCACTTCTCTGTGGGAGGGCCTTTTGGGGACAGTCCCCAACCATAGTAGTTCCTTCCTCTAAACACCAGGGACCCTGAAGAACACTTTTCATTAACAGTAATTTTAATTATGTTTAGGTGTTTGTTTCTCCACAAAATAGATTTTCTCTACAAGATAACTTTGTCCTTCAAACAGCTGCATGATGAAAATCCTTGGTGAGGAAATGAACTGAGAAGTCTATAAAAGTGGAAACCATACTGTAATTGAGGTAAACCAAGGTGAGGAGTTTTGGCCCAAGAAGTGCTTATCAAAGCCTGCTGAGCCGCTACATAAACTTTTGCTTTATTCATGCCCACTTGTGACAAAAGTCCCAGAACCTTCCTTTTGCAAGCTCTGAAATCTGGGGTTTACATTTAAAAAATAAAAATTGGGCTTTTTTTTTTTTCCTTTTCAAATATAAAACACCTAGGGACTAAGTTTTGGGGACTATACTTTCCATGGCACTGGATGGCTAGGAGAGCCTCTGTTCTGACTGAGACAAATATGGGCCCAAGTGTGCATTCCTCTTGGGCACTTGCCCTCCTAGCCACACTCCCTCCTGGCTCCTCTACACTGTCTGATATGTTGCCCTATAGAAATCTTACCTGCAGTGGTCTGAGAAATGTTCCAAAATAGTTTTTCGCTCTTTTGTCCCAAAGCTTTCATTTCCTCAGTTAAAAGGTACAGTCTCTCCTGTTCATGAAACTATTTTATTTTATGACCTTGCTCTACTATTGAACACTTTGTGTCTTCTATTAGTTTATGCACTGGAATCCCAACTTCAACATCACGAAGTTTGTTCTGTGACTCAGAACAGATTACTTAACAAATTGCTGGAAAGCCTGAAAATAAGATGAGTTACTATTTCAGCTACTGCCGTCCCCAGAAACCACCCCTGTGCCTACAAGTTCTTTAGGATGCAAATCAACAGAGAAGGCACAATCTGATGTATTTTATAGCCAAGGAGATATTTTAATGCTTTATAAAAAAAACTTACATATCAGGTATCAGAACTCAAAGTTTTAAACATTACATCATGTGTATTTTAAGAAGACATATTAACGAAAAGGTTCACAATTATCCCTGATAATGGAGACAGGTCTGGAGATAGAATTCTGCTTCAGTCAGTGTGGCCTCTATCTTCACAGGGTTCTCACCCAACACCTGCATCTTCACACAGGCCCAACAGTCTTACACAACTGTCAGCTTGAACCCATTGGTTTAGGAACAGCCATGTCTACAGGATATTCATGAGCAAATCCACTAAGAAGTCAATGTTCACTAAGTCCAGCAGGGTGAGTTCTGAGAGTCAGCAGAGCCAAAGCTCCTTTTATACAGGTGGGAAACTAAGGCTCAAACAGCCCAAAGTTACACAGAAAATTTAGAACACAATTTGAATTAAAACTCACTATTGGTCCACAGTTGGTTCCCCTAAAATCAGTGGTTTGCATGCAGGATATTTTCATAGTGGCAGGTGACCCGAGCTGCACCCTGAGGTGTGTGTGGCATAGAGGAAGGACAGGGTGAGAATGAGGGGCACAGCAGGCAGGGAGGACAGAGTGAACAGTATACCATAGCTGCATTCTCTCAACGCTTGCTAATCCACTGCCCAATTCCAGGAGGGAATAATGGGCAGAAGAGGCATCGTCTGCTGTGGCCAAGACCCAGGGTGAACAGGCAGTTATGCAGGTAGGGTAGGTTCCGCCTGGCAAGAACTTGGACGGTTCTCCTACAAAAGAGGATATTCTATGGGTATGGGAAGTCCTAATAAAGGATTGTTAACCATGGGATGAATTTTATGAAGAGATTTAGGGGAAATTCAGGTTAACTTCCAACTTGTTGAGTTAAAGTGGGCATGGGAAATTCAAGGTCAGATGACTGGCAGGTGTCTAGATATTCTACTGAGGAATGGATAAAATAATGAAAAGACAGGATTAGTCATTTGCTGAACAGTCATCACAAGGTTTCTCTGAGTCTTAAGACACAGGTGGGAGCTGGAAGATAGCAATGAACAAGAAGAGGCCTCTGCCTCTTGGAGCGACAGTTAAACTGGAGAGAGAGAGATTAAACAGTCACTGTACAGCCATTACATACAGTGGTCCTAAATGCTACCAATGTAAAATACACAGGTCTCCAAGCACTTAGAAAGAGCTAACCCCTTTCTAAGTAGTTGTGCAAAGGGATGTGGAAACCTTTCCTGTGCAAGTGTCGCTTGATTCAAACTCTGAAGGACAGAAAGGTCTTACTCATGGGAAGGAACAGAGTTTCCAGGCACAGAAGCCAGCAAGCAGCTCAAAGGTACTGGGGAGGTAAGAAGAAAGCTAGGAAATGGGAGGAAGATGAAAAGGCATCAAGGGTTTAAGTACAAGCACCGACACTCAGGTAAGACTTTAGGGTTGCTTACACAGTCAAAAAGGAGATCAGTCTGACTGAGGACGTACAACAGGACAAGATCTTGAATACTAAGCCAAGAAAATGAGGCTTAACACGTAAACAGAGTGGGAAGGTGTGGGGTGTGATCAAGAAAAGCACATGATAAAAATGCTTGCAAAAGAGTTGGACTCCTGTGTTCTGGGGACAGTTCAGGACAATTTCAGGAAACAAACATCTTACAAAAGAAGTCAAATTAGTTATAGGTATCAAGTAGACATCAAAAATCTTAGAAAAAATAACTATGTATATACATACACACACACACAAAAAAAAATAGAGAAATACAACTAGTGACAAATAATGAAAAATGATCACCCGTGGTGGGCTATAAACCCTCCCGGCACTTCACAAAGTCTGTTATCAAGCAGTCCGTATATTTTCAACCTTCCTGATCTCAGAAGTACACAGATTTAGTCAAAGTTGATTCCATTACAAGTGATACTTTAATTGTCTTCTCACGCATATGATAATCTGAGTGCACCACTCTGTTATTCACCTGCAAGATAAAAGCACACACCATCCAGAAAAGTGTGAAGCCCTTAGCAAAGGCCTTTGAGGGAACCCCACAGAATGAGAGCAATACCCCTCCAAAATAAATAAACAGTACAAAACCCACCCACCACACAGCCAAAAGCAGGCCCCTCTGTGGGCTCGGGGTCTAGGTACCGTGAGGTAAAGACGTCCCAGTTTTAGGAGTCCACAGACCTGGGACTAGTCTGCACTTTCCCCTGGGTAACTTTAGGCCAAACAGGAGCCCTTTCTGGGCTTTCATGACTTGTGGTAAATGAAGGGCTGGATTCCAGCGCAGCCGACAGCTCTGCCCTGCCAGGATGAGCTGTATGCGCATCCATCCTCTGCCATCTCACTAGCTGAAAGAGCCTTCAAAGGCCACATCGTGCTCATTTTTGGGCCTCGCTTGTCAGCAGCTATTCAGCAAGCTTCACAAATGAAGGGTGTATGGGGCCCTCCCTAATGGTACAACGGGTTAAAGTGCAGCACTAGGAAGCTAGCCACAGCTGCTTCAGCGCAAGTGCAATCCCTGGCCCCAGGGCTGACCCATGTGGCACAGCAGACCTCTCCTGCCTCCCCCGCTGCTCCCCTCAGCAGTGTACTTCATCAGCCTGCCTGTTTCCCTCCCCACTCTCTCTGATGAAGCCTCTCACCCCCTGCACCTCTGACCTGCAGCTGAGTTCTGTATGTACGAATAAATAAATCTTAAAAAACAAACAACCAAAAAAAAAAAAAAAAAGAATGGTGTTCAATAAAGACATAATGAAGTTTGGGTTAGCAAAACAAGTTTTCAATTAGTATTAACTAAGATGGATTTCTACTTACAGTTGGTTAAACTGCCTTTATTATTACAAACTTCTGAGAAACTGATCAACTTTTTCTTAACAAGAGAAGTGCAGCAATAAAAGATTTTTGAGAATTTGGTTGAGATGACTGTCAAAACTGTCTATTGCACCCCACGAAAGGTCACCTTTAATGAGTTGAGTTTTGAGAGTTGTTACGCATTACAATGCATTAACATTAAACCTTTTTTTTTTCTTTTAGAAAATAACAAGTTACCATACATTGGGAGGTGAGGAGCAGCTTATATGTAATTGTGGTGAGGGCACGGACTCTCGAAGCTCTCTGCCTGGGCAGGAATGCCAACTCCGCCACTTACTAGCCTTCCTGCTGTAAAAGGGATGTGGACCCCCAGAACCTACCTGCAGGGTGATGGGAGGCTTAAATGAATTGATTATCTGTACAATGCAAGGAACAGTGGCTGGCAGAGTGAGCAACACAATAAATGTTGATAGATGTCAACTGATAAATGTCACTGAGGAGAAGCCCACAATTCTCACGTGACATTTTAGGGTGCTGTTTGAAAATGTTCACAGCAGGTGCATTAGCTTTAGCATGGATGGAGGCCCCTGTTCACCTGGAATTTACTTACTCTGGTGAAAAAGTCAACAATGTGCCATTTATTTCCATATTTCTTAAAAATGTCAGCCATCGCCTTAATCATCACAGAGCCAGTCCTGGAGTGCCGTAAAGCCACATGATCTACAAAGGGAAAACAAAAGCTCTTTTTAAATTTAACTTTTTACTAATAATGATATTAGTAATAATGTTATAGCACATAGACTAGTGAAAATGGCTGCCAGTTGTTTCATATTTACTATCTTAGTTATTATGATGAACACATCTGTATTACATAATTAAATTGATATAACATCCCAAAGACTTCAGCAAATGTTATCCATCTGGTTATAAATGCAAAAAACTGACATATATAAGGGCAAAAAAACACTGAAGGTCTCAAAGATAGGAAATGGCAGAGTGAACTTTTGAGCCAAGATCTCTCTATGTGAGTCTCAATAATCATATTTATTGAGTGATATTTTGCTAAGAGGTCGGGTCTTCTTGGGAGAAGTAAAGAGTAAGATGCCAAACTACAGATCAGAGACAATGTGTAGGGGAGGTGGAAGGGGAAGTACCAGGACAGGGGTGGGAAGAGCACAAAGAACTATGGTGATGGTGCACAGGTGACTTGGTGGTGGGAATTTCATGGAGAAATCATACATTGTACAAAAATGAAGGATAATGTAATGAATATATTTTTTTTAATTTATTTTTTTTATTTTTTTTAGCAAACTTTTTTTTTTATTTATTACAAAGTTTATTTTTACATCATTTTGCACATTTTTTTTCCATCTCTATTGTAATCCCTGCAGGATGAATATATTTTAAAAATCTTAAAAAAAAAAAGAATAAGATGCCATCAACAACTAGAAATATTTTTTGAAGAAAGATGGGTGGGTTGACAATTTCTCCTTCTATACATTGATTTGCAGGCACAAATGATTTTCTTAACAGCTCTTCTAACTTCACCCTTGGAAGAATGTGTCTCTCATGTCACCTGCTCTCCTCTCTTACCTGGATGGGTGGGATAGATGATAAAATAGTCGCTGAATGTAGGCAGCCTCTTCTTCTCAGATATGTCATCAAAATCCAGGGGCTCATCATCCGTTTCCACACCAGTATCTCTTTTCTCTATATTTGAGGAATGAAAATATAAAAACAATAAATATGCCACTGACTCTGGTAGCCCTTAATAGGTGTCACAGGAAACTTGTCTCTCCACAAGAGATACAGCCGTAAGAGCAACCTAAGGCAGATTTTAGATCCATAAGCTGTGGAATCATACGGATGGTGGAATAATCCTTAGAAGTTGCACAATCCTCTCAGCATCTGAGGGTCCTTATTTACCTCCTGAAGTTAATGATTTGAACCTTCCTCAGCATAATGTAATTATTCTAGCACAAGGAGGTTTCCCTTCCACCTTTTCATTGAAGCTCAGACTTCTTAAGATTGTATCAGGTGCTCTAATTTAAAATAATATATCTATGTATTTTTCTCTTCTCCATCAATGTGGGAATTTCCTAGAAACAGGTTTATTATGGAGAAACCTCTTACCTCCTCTGCAGGCCTGGATTATAAAGATTTTTGGTTTTTCTTGAAGTGCCGGACAATTTTTATTGTTAAACATTTCAAAAATGTCTTCCAAGCTGATTCTTTCACCATTATTCATTTTAATGAAGCCGTTCTCTCCATGGGACATAAGAGTAACAAGGCAACAGCCAATTTCACCTTTCTTTTCATTGAGACCATCACGAAATGATGTTATTTGGCCAAGTAACTCCTATAAAATAGGATAATGTTAGAAAGAGCTAGAGAGGGCCCTCCCTGATGGCACAGCAGCTTAAAGCACAGCACTGAGAAGCTAAAGCCACTTCTGCATGAGTTCAATCCCGCCCTGGCGGTGACCACGTGGCGCGGCAGACCTCTCCTGACCCCCCACTGCTCCCCTCAGCAGTGTACTTTGTAGATCTGCCTGTTCTGCTCCCCAGTCTGTCTCTGGTGAAGCCTCTCACTGCTCCTGAGCCTCTGGCCTGTACCCCAGTTCTATATGCATAAATAAATAAATCTTTAATTAAAAAAAAAAAACAGACAATTGCAAACCAGAGATATCTTACAGGGAAGGAGCACAGAGAAGGATGGGAAGGAAGGAGGGAGGGATGTAGGGACTGTGGCGATGACTGGTGGGTAGGTGAAGTGGGGGACGGGGCAGTAAACATTGCTTTAAAATGAACAATAGGGCCCTCCGTAGTGGTACACCATGTAGAAGCGCAGCACTGTGAAGCTGCCCACAGCCACTGCAGCACGAGTTCGATCCCTGGCCAGGGAGTGACCCACAGGGCACAGCAGACCTCTCCTGACCTGCTCTGCTCCCCTCAGCAGAGGGCTTCGTCAGTCGGCCTGTTCTGCTCCCCCTCTGTCTCATGTAAATCCTCTCACTGCCCTCACACCTCTGCACTGTACCCCAGTTCTGTATGCATAAATAAATAAATCTTTGAAAAAAAGAGCTAGAGATAGGAAACCTATCTCTAGTAGATGGCCCCACTACTAGCAAGCCTAAATCTCTGCCCCAGGGTCTCGGGCATCACTGCCACTTCCCTTATGATTCTCAGAATTGGTATGATTTCTTCTTGTGTTACTGGTTCCTATTTGACAAAAATTGGGGAATTTCTGAATCTCTACCACAAATTCAACAGAATTCTGGAACTCCCCTACCTAAGGACTAACGTACTTACATTTTTGATTCATTAATTTTAATACATAAGAATTATTTCATGGCCCTCCCGGGTGGCGCAGCGGGTTAAAGCACAGCACTGAGAAGCTAAAACCACTTCCGCATGAGTTCAATCCCTGCCTGCCCTGGAGGTGACCACATGTCCCAGCAGACCTCTCCTGACCCGCCCGCTGCTCCCCTCAAAGGTGTACTTTGACGATCTGCCTGCTCTGCTCCCCACTCTGCCTATGGTGAAGCCTCTCACTGCCCCTGCACCTCTGCCTGTACCCCCGTTCTGTATGAATAAATAAGTAAATCTTTAAAAAAAAAGAATTATTTCATAAAGTGATTATCCTCAGTGAGCTAGAGATGCAAGAGAATGAAGAAATGAACACAATGGACACCCCATCGGGTGTCATCATAATCAAGCTCACTACACAGAGAAGCAGGACTGCGGGACCCCCACTCTCAAAGCCGTTTTCCTGCTCCCAAATGCTCTGGCCCATGCCCTTTCTGGACTCACAGCTTGTTCTGGGGTCTCCTGGACTCCCTTTCTTAGGACACCTTTCTGGGTTCCCTCACTCTCTTCAACTGCACACCCTTCTCCTTGACAGAAGCCCAAGAGGCCTCTGCTGGTCTGGAAGGGGAGCTTGGCCCTACCATATACTTAAGATATTTTTTTAACAATGGAAAAACAATCTTAAGATTACAACAGCATTTGCACAGAACAGGCAAGCTAAGGAAGAATCTCATCAGGACAAACAGACTCAGTAGGTCCTGTGTATAGGACAAACAGACTCAATAGTCCCTAGGTACTAAAACCCAATTTTTCCCTTGCTTTAAAAAAAAAAAAAAAAGTAACAAACTTTTGCTATTAATTCAAATATTCCTGGCGGTGCAACTGGTTAAAGCACCACTTTATGAAGCTCTCCCAAGCCACTACAGCATGAGTTCCATCCCCAGCCAGGGAGCTGACCCCCATGGCTGGCAGGCCTCCTCTGACCCGCCCGCTGCTCCCCTCAGCAGTGTACTTTGACGATCTGCCTGTTCTGTTCCCCACTCTGTCTCTGGTGAATCCTCTCACCAGCCCTGCACCTCTGGTCTATACCCCAGCTCTGTATGCATAAATAAATAAACCCAAAAAAAAAGCTCTATAATACAAGCTACAATCTTTCAGTTTGGGGATCAGCGTGTTACCCTTTTGTCAGGATCTATGCAGGACGTCTGTTCAAACTGGCACTGGCCCAGCCACTCCTCCATCAGCACGATGTCCTGCTCAGCGCCTGGCCTGTTTTTCGTCACACACATGAGGAAAGCTTTCCGCTCACCACTCAGGTCGTAGCAGTCCTGTTTGTGAGGAAAATCACACAACGGTGTTTAAGCCAAACTAGTCGGACACCCAATAGTACATGTATATGAAACAACTAGTCTCTCCCCGGATTAATGGTGAGGTTTCTGAGTTCAGACCAGGGGCTCACACGGAGACCTCTCATCAGTCCTGGGGGACAGGGAGACAACTCAATGGATATCTCTTTCAAAGATCTTTCTGAGACTAGGACAAATATGGACTTTTTGAATCTGAATTTTTAACTTTCAAATATAACCTTAACTACCAGGGAAAGGAAAGATGGCAGAGGAAAGCGGCAAATGACAAGGGGCTGGAGCCATCAAAACCCCAAATGTGGGACATTCTAGGGTCACCTGGTTTCTTCAATGAATAAGAAAAAAGGTTAAAGATGAAAGAAATATCATAAATTAAGTCTTAAAGACAAGTCGGTGAAATGCAAGTGGGTAACGGATTCAAACCAAACAACTGGACCAGACTAGGGACAGTGGAGGAAACCAGAATGCTACCACATGTTTGTATTTTAGTGACATTGTGCTTCTTTTGGGGGGAAAAAAATTTCTCAGTGATACATACAAAAGTATTTCTAGGTGAAAGTGATAGGCTATTTGAATTTAAAAATGACTAAGAGTGGAGTGCAGAAGAAACCTGGTCAACATATAATATGCTGTTTATGGAACCAAGCATGTTGGCCTGGAGCTGGGAGCATGATTCCCCAACTCTAGTTGAAAATGACCATAGTAAAACCTTAAAAAGTCTTGCAAAGCAGCAATGTGTGTAATGTAACTACCCAAGGTCATTTACCAGTGGTGCCTGGCCTCCCTTGATTTGTAAAGTGGAACTAGTTCCAGTGCCTGCTTCCTCTGCCTGCGGCTTGTAAAGTAGTTTTGATTGGCGCCATTTAGCTTTTACTCTTTTAACAGAATGGTGGCTAAACTTTCTCCTACTAATCCACGTAGAGTGCTGCAGTAAGAATCAAGATATTTACCAGGTCACCATCCATGCAGTCATAGCTTCTCTTTAGACATTTTCTTGGAATCACTGAATTCATTTTCATGAAAAGAGAATAAAACAGAAAAAGAACATTATATTTTTTTCTCCCCCCCCCTTTTTTTTTAAATCAAGATCAGCTGTTCTTCCAGTTAATAGGAAACCCCTCTCAAAGGATTCAGTTGCCTCTTATGTGTTTTTTTTTTTTTAAAGATTTTTTTATTTATTTATACAGAACTGGGGTAGAGGCCAGAGATGCGGAGGGTGAGAGGATTCTTTAGAGACAGAGTGGGGAGCAGAACAGGCAGATGGAGGAAGTACACTGTTGAGGGGAGCAGCGGGCGGGTCAGGAGAGGTCTGCCACTGCCATGTGGTCACCTCCGGGGCAGGCTGGAATTGAACTCAGGCGGAAGTGGCTTAAGCTTCTTAGTGCTGCGCTTTAACCGGCTGCGCCACCAGGGAGGGCCTGCCTCTTATGTTTTAAGATTCTCCCTCTCGCAAATGAGGTTGGAAACCTAAAACAGAACTCCTTTAAACACATGTCAGGTCCAGGGCAAAGAAAGCTCGAAGCCAGAGAAGAAAAAAACAAGAATGAATTGCCATTACTATACGAGCACTCCTTGAAGAGAAGACCCTGTTTTCAATAAAGGAAAAGAAGAACTAAAGAAACCAGACCGAATTATTTTTTCTTTTATGTAACATAAACTTTAAGTCTTCAATTCAAATATGTATTTACCAGGTGCCTACAGTGTAATGACATGATATTGTGTAGTTTCAATGACTCTGGAGGAAAAGAGAGTACAAGGAAGGGCTCTCCCTGGTGGCCCAAGGAGTTAAGCACAGCGGTAAAAAGCTATTAGTAGCCACTGAAGCTAGAGTTTGATTCCCTGCGGGAGCTGACCCACATGGCTTGGCAGACCTCTCCTGTCCCTCCCACTGCTCCCCTCAGCAGTGCAGTTCAGTCAAGCCACCTGTTCTGTTCCCCCACTGTCTCTGGTGAATCCTCTCAACCCCGCACCTCTGGCCTGTTGTACCCTAGTTCTTGAATGCATAGATAAATAAATCTTTAAAATAAAGTAAAAGTATAAGGGGGAAAAAAAAAACAGTAAACAGCAAGAGAATTCCTGTCTAGTGGGGCAATAACAAAAGTGATACATGAATAACTAAGCCCTAAGACAATGGGTTGAAGGAAGAGAGACTTGATTCCTTGGAGCCAAGGGCAGTATTCTGCCTTCAGGCCATGTGGGTGAGTGATTACAGTTGTTACTCACCACAACTTTTTTTTAAAGAAAGAAAAACAAGGGTAACACACTCAACTAGATAAGATGCTGAGGGCAGAGATCACCAACAATACATTTCAGTGCCTATGATAAAGCCTTCTTGCATCTTTATTGCTGTCTCCTCTCTCTCTCTCTCTCTCACTCGCGTGTGCGCGCACGCGCGGACACACACACACACACACACACACACACACAATTTGGAGGAGGGAGTAGCCCTAACCTCCCTCAACCTGTTACATACTGCATTTCTCGATCATAAGCCACAACTCCCCACATTTATGGCAAACAGTTCATGGTGTGCAAGAAAGTGCCCCCCCACACCCACCCCCTGGAGATGTGGCGGTGAGGATTCCAGCTCAGTTTCTCACCGCAGCATCAAAAACTTCCTCCATAATTATGGGGCGGTACTGGCTTAAAAGTGCACCTAGGCCGGCTACATTAATTGGAGCTCACCCCCAAAATGCGCTGGGAGGCCCTGATGGACTGGACACTCGGATTCCGTGACTGGGAACGGTGACTTTCCCGCCCGATCACACCCGGGCTCCCACCTCCCACCTACAGTTCATCGGCACTTGGGTCCCGCCATACGCGCCCCCTCCTCTCCTCCTCCCGGACGAGTCTAGCCCCCGCCGCTCACCCGGGCAGCGAGTAACCCCTCCCCACCCGCCCGCAAACCCCCGGGGCAGCGGGGCCCCACCTCAGCGCTCCCCCTGGGACGCCCGCTCCGGGATCCCAGTCTCACCGCACCCCAGCCTGGAAATCCCCGCGCTCACCGGCTCGGTCGGCTGCAGGATCGCTCTCCCAGCGCTGCAGCAAGTCCGCGCGGCGAAGCTGCTGCAGCACCTTGGTGACCACGCGAGGCGCGGCGGGCAGGTAGTAGTGCTTGGCCAGGAGCTGCGCCAGCCCTGACGCGCTGTCGCCCTCCAACTCCAGCTGCAGCTGGCTCACCCGCGGCTCCTCGTCCACCGTTTTGAGGATGGCGCGGAAGTTGCGCAGCTCCCGCGGGGACAGCACGCCCAGGGTCTCCAGCAAACGGCTCTGCAGCTCGTCCAGGGCCTGAGGCGCCCGGTGGCCATTGGACCCCCAGCGCGGGCCGCTCCCGGGACTCCCCTCCATCGTCACCCGCAAAGTTTGGCGGTACCCGGGTCTGGGGGCCGACCAGCGATCTCACTTCGCGCGCCACACACGCCTCCTGCTTCTCTTTGTTTTGCAAGCGGGAGGCGTTTCCGCTCTCCTGCAGAAGCGGGGACTGCAGGCCGCGGAGGCCGGGACGAGCCCGCCTATACCCGCGTAGGCCCCGCCCCGCCAGGGCCCCGCCCCCGACGAGCCCCGCCACTGGGCACTGGCTGTTGCCCAGACCTTCGCCTACTTAAACCTTGGAGCCCAGGTCTGGAGAGCTGAGCGGTGCTTTGGGACCTGCAGGGCTCCTCCTTGGTTCTCTAACATGGCTATGGGTTAGAATCACCCAAGAGCTGCCCAGATCACAAGCTAGGATCACTACTTTAGAATCGGGCGGCGGAGGGGGGGGGGAGGTCCAGGAACTTCGGGATTGAAAGATTCTTCAGATGACTCCACTATGCAGCCAAGTCTGAAAACCACCGACCTTAGGACCCTAGCGTGTTTATCAGCTACCTGAACTAATGATTCCCGCAGATGCTGGAAGAAATTGGAAACTGAAATAACACCTAGAGGCTATTGCTTAAAGCCAATTTTTTTTTGGAGCCCAAAGTTTTTGGATGTTGAGATTTGAAAATTTGACGTCAATGTTAGAAATGCACATTGCTAAATCTGTTGGGTGTGTGGAATGGTTATTACCTCGGTGGGCAGAACTCAGCTTTGCAAGTCCCGCCCCGTCTCCCCACCGCACCGCCCCTCTCCCCTCCTCCCCCCAGTCATCTCTGGGTTCCTTGGCTTGGTTGGGCCCTCAGGATCTGACTCATTCTAACTGTGGTTTGCCTCAAAATTACTTTGAACGGCTGGTGGAAGAATCTCAGGATCTCTCTGTTTCTCTGGAGGAAGCAATAAATTCAAAGAAATAGTCTTATCTGCAGTTATTAATTCACTAAATAAATACTTTTATACCTTTTCAAACGTTTCACCTTTTACTGTAGCTTTGGTCTTTCTTGAGTTAAGTGAGAGAGAAAGGGAAGGAGAAAGAAGTGCAGAGGCAACCCTGGGAGGCTGCAACACCCCCCTCCTCATCCCCACCCTGGGAGGCAGCCGACCTGGAAGGCTTGTTTCTTTGCCACTAGCAGGAATTCAGAAAATCAGATCTCTTTGCTTGTGCTTGAACTTTAGCAAACTTGACCTGCACAAAGACTTATGGCTTGGAGATAGTTGCCTTTTTGTTCCAAAACTGTTCAAAGATGGGAGTAAGGGGCTAGGAGATGCAGTTCTTTCCCCTTTTCTATTTCCTGGCACTAGGGGGTTTGACAATACAGCCAGTTTTTACATTGGCCATCCAGGAACAGAGATGCCATCCTGTAGGGAAAATGGAGGTTCAGGCTTTTTTCCCCCTTCCTGCCCAGAGTCTCTATGGCTAATACCTGCAGTCTGGCACTCCTTAGGTTGACAGTGGCTGCCTGGGCTGCCTACTTAATTACCCCCTTGGCGCCCAGGTTGGCAGGGCTAAGTGGTGCTTTGGGGCCTGCAGGGCACCTTCTTGGTTCTCTAACATGGCTATGGGTGAATCACCCCCAAGAGTTGCCCACATCACAAGCTAGGATGACTACTTTAGAATGGTGGTAGTGGTGGGGGGTGGGGAGTAGGGGAGGCAGAGTCCAGGCACTCATGGATTTTAAAATTCTTCAGATGACTCCACTGTGCAGCCAAGTCTGAAAACCACCATCATGTTTATCAGCTACCTGAACTAATGATTCCCCCAGACGCTGGAAGAAATTGGAAACTGAAATAACACCTAGAGGCTATTGCTTAAAGCCAAATATTTTGGAGAAGGGATGACAAAAGCTGAGATCTGTGATAGTACACCCCTGGGTCCAGAGAGCACTAGGTATGCGCGCGTATGTACGTGCACACCTGGGCCTAGGAGGTGCGGGATGAGGCGGAGGCAGTGGGCCACTCCAAGACTACAGAGGACTGGAGACAGAGAGGGAGACCAGGAGAGCGCACAGGTGGAGGGGCCAGGGGCTCCCTGGCCTCCAGAGCCAACTGGGGCCCTGCCTTGCCTGACTGCCTCCCTGCCTGGGTCTGGTTATCTGATTCAGCACTAGAAACCTGTAAAATGACACCAAAAGCTCCAAAATTTTCTTTTCACCTATGAGAAACAAAATGAAGCCACCCACGCCTGGACGGCTGTACAAGGGGCAATGCCACCGATGACCCATCACCCCTGGGCTGGCAGTTGGGGTCGCCACAGGCACTGTCTGCCTGAAGGAACCATGCAAAAGTGTATGGAGACCTAAAATACTGTGGGCGAACGATGCTCTGTCAGAAGATTTCAAGAATACTGTGTATTTTAGGATTTGTGGCTCGATGCCCAATTTGTGATACTAAAAATGCCCAATCTTATACACACTGAGGACTTGACCTGAATAAGATATGTTATATCTCAAAGTTCTATTATATTTTTAAGAGCACACATCTTGGGCAAGAGAATTCTTGCCCAAGAATTGAAAACCTAAATCAAATCATGAAATAATATCATACAAATCCAAAATGAGCAAATCTGAACTCTCAAAATAGCAACAGCTTTCACAAAGATGGCACCAGAAGCAAAAGGAAGTCCCTGCCCCTCCCAAAGTCCAAGCCCAAGCCCAAACTTTGAAGGCCAAGAAAGCAGCGCAGACAAGTGTCTACCACCACACACACACACACACACACACACACACACACACACACTCCAGAGGCAACCCACAAATCCCGGCAGGATGCCCCCGGGAGAAACAAGCCTGACCACTGAGCCACTATCAAATACCCCTCTTGACCACAGAATTAATCATGAAGAAGACAGAAGACAACCACATACTTGTGTTCATGGGGGATGTTTTGAAAGAAAAGTCTATCTTTTGGAGATATACATGGAATATTAACAGATGACATGTCTGGGAGTTATTTCAAAATAATGCAGTTGAGGGGAGGAAGGATGGGGGAAGAGTAATCAAGATTGGCCGAATGTAACCGGGTGAGGGGTACGTGTAGTTTCATTACACTATTCGAACTGGGGTACAGGCCAGATGTGCAGGGGCAATGAGAGGCTTCACTAGAGACAGAGTGGGGAGCAGAACAGGCAGACTGACAAAGTACACTGCTGAGGGGAGCAGCGGGCGGGTCAGGAGAGGTCTGCTGCACAATGTGGTCACCTCCAGCGCAGACAGGGATGGAACTCACGCACGGAAGGGAAGTGGCTTTAGCTTCCTAGTGCTGTGCTTTAACCCAGAGTCACCAGGGAGGGCCTGAATTCATTCTTAAAGCCACAAGCATCCAATAAAAAAGAAAAAGAAGTGAGAACCATCCCCTGAAAAGAAGGGAGAAAAAACTTCACTGATCTTTTTTAGAAGTAACTGTAACACTAGTCCCAAAATGTTGTAAAGTGGTAATTAGAAAGAATTTATCATTTACTTTGCCTTTCCTATAATAGCTGTATTCTAAGGCAATCAACTTGCCTTACTTGACAAAAACAAAGTTCTTTCTTACAAAAGAGTTATAGATAATAAGTACAGATGATGTGATACAATGAGGACATCATTTTTATAACCCTCAATGAAATAACTCATGTTAGCAAAGTTTGTTAATAAAGGTTTGTTTGCAACTTTGCAATCGAGACATTAGGTTGTCTCAACGTGAACCCACTCAAGAATTTTAGCATCAATAAAAATGGGAATTTTATAAACACATGCCTTTTGCAGCAACCTGGATGGAGCTGGAAAGGATCATGCATAGTGAAATAAGCCAAAAAGAAAAGGAAAAATACTGGATGGTTTCACTCATAGCAGGAGTATAAAGGACCAGGGGAGAAAATAATAATAATAATGAACAACTATATACCAGAGACATTTTATGGGAGTGGAGTGGGGAATGAGATCAAAAAAGGTGGGGGGAGAGAAGTGCACTGGACTATGATGGCACACGGGTGATTTGGTGATGGGAAGCCTACGGGGATTACAACTGAGATGGGAAAAGGCACAAAATGATGTAAAAATAAATTGCTATATATATTAAAAAAAAAAAAAACACGGGAATTTTAGCATCAGTAAAAATGGAAGAGCAAGATCCCACGGGCATTCTGGTGCAATGCAATCAGAATTCCACAGCACCAGCTGTGGAGGATTTTGTCTACAGAATAGGGTAAACCTGAACTCAATCAAGTCTTTGGAGGAAACAAGTTTATAGAAAATATGGAGAAACCAATTAAAATCCTAGGAAAATAATTCAGAAAGTAAAACATTTCACACAGGACAACACAGAACCAAATCATGCAGGGGAGGGGTGTTATCCTGGGTTAAAAAAAAATTTTAAACCCAGCCTTTCCCTGGTGGTGCAAGAGGTTAAAGCACCAAATTACGCCACTGCAGCATGAGTTCCATCCCCAGCCAGGGAGGTGACCCACATGGCGTGGCAGACCTCTCCTGACCCACCCACTTCTCCCTTCAGCAGTATATTTCAGCAGATCTGCCTGTTCTGTTCCCCACTTTGTCTCTAGTGAATCCTCTCACCCACCATACCACTGGCCTGTTCCCCAATTCTGTAAACATAAATAAATGAATCTTTTAAGAAAATTTAAAAACCCAATGCTATGTGTGCACCTTGCTTGAATCCTGATTCAAATAAACTGACTATAAAAAATCTTTCTGGGATGGGCCTTCCTGATGGCCTAGGGATTAAGTCTCAGCACTATCACCACAGACGGCACTTGCCAAGGCTGGAATTAGATTCTCAGCCTGGGAGCTAACTCATACAACACTCAGCAGACCTCGCCTGTTTCCCCACTGCTCCCTGTAGCAATGCATTTCAGTGGATCCATCTGTTTGTCTCCCCACTCTGTCTCTAGTGAATCCTCTCACCCCCTGCACCTCTGGCCCTAGTTCTTATATGCATAAATAAATCAATCTTAAAAAAATGAATTTCCTCCTAAAAAAATAAATAAAAAATGTCATCAAGGAAAGAAATAAGTGGGAGAGAACAGAGACACACTAGAGTGGTAAAATCCTGAAAACTAGACAAGCTAAAGTGGTCCAATCCAAGTGATAGGGATGAAGGGGCCCATGTACCCCCATGTACCATCTGCTCTTTGGCTGAAATTGTTGAAAAATTTAATAATACATTCAGGAAAGAGTATTCTGGTAGCTGGACATTCTGCTTCTGTATCTTCTTTTGGGTCAGGCTCAACTAGAGCTTATCTCTAGTGGCCGGTGACTGTTTTCCTGCCTCTAAATAATTTGCTTTAAGTGTGAGGCAGCCAAGAACAGATCAAGTTGCCAAAAAAAAGGGCAATATTTGGAAAGTTAGCTGAAGCACGATAGCCACTTCCTGTCTGAACTTTCATACTCAGTGAGATTGCAGGAGAGAAAAAAACAAGTTCTGGGCACCTGAGGTTTTCTCCAGGGGTACTTGCCCCTGAAGTTGGGGTTTAAAAGCAAATTTCATGTTTACATTAACATTTTTATTTTAGAGAAAATTCTTACCAGTATTTGATCCAAAAGAACAAATGAGGAACACAGAAGAGGTCTCTGGTTCATGAGCCTAGTATAAACCTAGCAAAATTTGCAGTGGGATGGACCCTCAGGTCAGTCTCATCCTGAGGAGCCTTGTCCTGCGGGATGTCACTGGCAGGAGGCCCCAGGGAGACCCTAAACTTACTTTAAATTTAGGCAAACCACTAACCATAATATAGTGTGTTATGAGTTGACTTATGTCCCTCAGAAAGCTATATGGACTCCTAACCCTCAGATCCTATAAATGTGACCTTATTTGGAAACAGGGTCTTTGACAAATAATCAAGCTGGGGTCATAATGGATTGGCCTGGGTCCTAATCCAGTAATAGGTGTCCCAAAAGAAGACAAAACTTGGACACAAACACAAACACGGGGGAGAAGTCACTGTGAACAGGGAGACAGAGTTTGGAGTGATGAATGCCAAAGTATCTACAAGAAGCTGGAGACAGGATCAGAGTACAGCCTGCAGTCACCTTGATTTCAGACTTGTAGGCTCCAGAAAGGTAAGAGAATAAATTGTCCTTAGATGCCATCCAGTTTGCTGTCATCTGTTGCAGCAGCTCCAGGGAATAAATATAATGTGCTAGAAACCTTTGTTCATTTTATCCTCCCCACCACTCTAGAAGACAGGAAAGCTTACCCTCCCCATTTCCCAGGCACAACTTCAAGTGTGTCAAATAAGTGGAGAGCCAAAATTTCCTTCTGGGTTGCCTGGGATGACAGGCCACATTCCTAACCACTGGACCAAACATACCCCCTTCTGCTGTTTGGATGAAATGAAGACCCTTTCCTAAGTTTTAAAGTTTATTTTAAAAGTCACTAGAATGACTATAATAAATAAAACAGACAATGATCAGTGTTAAGGATGTGGAGAAATCAGAACCCTCATACACTGCTGCTGAGAATGCAGGTCACACAAGAAGCTATGCAACGATTCCAGCATAAACAAACAGGGCAGGGGCCTCCCTGGCAGGGCAAAAAGCACAGCACCATGGGCCACAGCAGTGCAAGTTAGATGCCCGGCCAGGGAGGTGACCCACATGGTGCAGCAGACCCCTCCTGTCTCACCTGCTGCTCCCCTTAGCAATGTATTACAGTAGATCAATCTGCCTGTTCTGCTCCCTACTCTGTCTCTGGTGGGTCCTCTCACTCCCACATTTCTGGCCTGTACCCAAGATCTATGGGTACATAGATCTTATGTATGCATAAATAAATAAATCTTTAAAAAAAAAAATCAGGCTTTAAAACTGATTAAGTCAAAGGACTTAATGAGAGTTCTCTAAAAGATATGCAAATGGCCTGCTGTAAAGTTATCGGGGATATGCAAATCAAAAATACAACTGGACTCCACCACACCCAGCAGGATGGCTAAATAAAAGATAAAAAATAGGGATGGGGAGGACAGGGAACCCTCCCAGACTGCTGGTATAAACGCTTTGGAAAACAGTATCAAAATCACTTACCTTTTATAAGTAATTTTGGCTGTGGAATAGTTAAACTTTGGATTACCACATGATCTAGAAACTCCACTCCTAGGCATATACACAAGAGAAGTGAAAATATATGTTCATAGATGTATTATGCATAAGAATCAAAAGGTAGCTCAAATATTCCTCAACTGACAAATGGTTGAAATATGGTATAGGGGTACAAAAGGTGACTTTGGCCATGAAAGAGTACTAAACATGCCGCATCACAAACCTCAGAAACAGAAGTGAAAGAAACAGTAAGTGTTCGAAAACAGAAGTGAAACAAGACACTAGATCCTGACTCCATTTACATGAATCATACAGATGCAAATATATAGATGAAAGGCCTCACTGATTGCCTGGGGCTGGAAAGGGATTAATTATAAATGATGATGCCATGTGGAAGAGGCTGATGGTTGGGAGATGTGGGGAGGAGACAAGTGGGTGAAGGTCAAAGTCACTAACTTCCAGTTCAAAATAAGCAGGACTGGGGCTGTAACGTACATTTTGATGTTACCCAGAGAGTTTACAATACAAACTTACATTAGCAGGACAAACACTTAGAGTTACTTACAGCTGTTTGGGCAAGGCCAGGTGCCCATTCCATCCCAAATTGGTTAAAAGCAACTAAGGAGCAAAGGACCCTAACATTAACTTGGGTTCATTAACATCCACTATTCAATGAGATTCCCACCCACGGTGGGTGGAGGGAGGATGGCCCTCTCAGATCTACTGAGGAAAGATCTACTGGAGTAAGCCACACTGTGCCTGAGCAACCAAGATCCCCAACCTGCCACCCTCCCCCCAATACCTGTTCTAGTATCAATAATCCTATACAAAACCTTACTCCCTTTAGAAAGGGAAAAGTTACTTTGAGAGTCATCCCTCAGTCTCCTACTTGGTTGTAGTAAAGTCCCATTGCCACAATCTTCCACTTTGTCTTTGTGTTCAGGTAACAGAGTAGTTAACAACACTGCACTGCATGTCCTCAGTGTCTGCTGAGGTTTTTGGCAACTGAGCAAAGCCTTTAATGCTGTGGGATGGGTTTCTCTTCTCCTTGTCCGTGATATAATCAAAAGATGTTGAAGGAAATGACTTTACTGGGAGATGCACCATATCTGAAAGTTAAAGAGTATTCAAAATTTAAGAACTCTTATAGGGCCTCCCTAGTGGCCAGGGGTTAAAGTCTTATCACTATCAAGCTATCACCAGCCACTGCAGCATGAGTTCGATTCCCCACCAGGGAGCTGACCCACAGGGCGTGGCAGACCTCTCCTGTCTCGCCCGCTGCTCCCTTCAGCACTCCCTTCAGTCAGTCCACCTGTTCTGTTCCCCACTGTCTCTGGTGAATCCTCTCACTTCCTATATCTCTGGCCTACACCCCAGTTCTTCAACATAGTATTAAAAAAAAAACAAAACTAAGAACTATTTGTGCATGGTGATAAATGTTAAGACTCACCCTGATTATTGTGTAACATATACAAATAGCAAATCAGTTTTGCACACTAATGTTGTATGTTGGTTGTAAGTCAATAAAAAGAAAACAGAGCTCTTATTGGGGATAAATGAATCCTAAAACTGATTTACGCTGATGGATGTACCACAAAGTTACCAAAAGTCATTGACCTATACATTTGAAGTAGGTAAATTGTGTATGTAAGGTAAAACTGTTTATTTTTATTATTTTTTAAAGATTTATTTATTTATCCACACAAGAACTGGGGTGTAGGTCTGAGGTGCCAGGGGGTGACAGGAGTCACCAGAGGCAGAGTGAGGAGCAGAACAGGCACCTCTACTGAAATACACTGCTGAGGGGAACAGCAGGGGAGACAGGAGAGGTCTGCTGAGCCATGTGGGTCAGCTCCCTGGCCAGGGATCAAACTGCAGTGGCTGTGGATAGCTTCATAGGGCTGATACTTAACCCCTTGCACCACCAGGGAGGCCCAGGTAAAACTGTTTAAACACTACTCTTAGGTTTTAGGAACTATACAGGTTTAAGAGTCAGCTACCCCAACTAGTTTGTTATTTTAGAACCGTTATAGCACAAGGTTTTCCAAATAGCTTTCATTGATAAAATGCTTCCCTTTATTTGTCTGAACTTTAACTGCAGAAAAATGCCACAACAATTTAAGAGTTGAAAAAGGAGTCAAGATCAAGAACTTTTATTTGGACATATAAAGGCCAGGAAGTCAATGTCCCCCATTTACCAGACCATCTGAGAAGTAGATTAGAAACCAATTAAATAATGCCATCTATTCTTCCTCACCCTGATATGACCTACGGTGCAAACTTGAGCCTGGTGGCAGCAACTCCTCTCTGGGAACTCATCTCCCCAGCTGAAGCTTTCAGTCACATAGGGCCATTCCCAGCTCAAGAAGGGAGCCAAGGAGGCTTCGTGTAAGTGGGTGGGGTGACTTTTCAGGTAGCCGAGCAGGATATGCAAACCCTTCTCCTAACTCCCCACCAAGCTGTCCGGTTCCATGACTCCTCTTTGGGGAGATTCCAAAGGCTTGAGTCTACTTGAACTGGGTAACAGAAGGTGAGGTAACTGCCTGTCTCTCCCCGACAGACTCATCTTACTCCAGCGTAGAGAGGTGAAGCAGCTCTTGGCAGAGACCAGGCAGGGTAGCAGATCTCATCATCCCCTAGTCCCCTGTCGGTCAGGACTTCAGGCCCATCTTGGCCATCATCTCCTCATAGACTGTCCAGGCCATGGCAGCCATCAGTGTTCTGCGGAGGGCCCGGGGAACGCCACCCTGGAAGAAGCCCCGCAGCCCATAGTCCTGTGGGGAAAATGAAAGTCAAAAGCCTCGAAGCAAATTAGCAAAACTGAACACCTGGCACCAGAGTGAGGGTCTCTCTGTTACTCCATTGGTAAGTCTTAGTTTTCAGACCTTTATTAAATATCCCAGCGCTATAAATAATGGGTCCACGGAGATGATCAATCAACTTGAAGTGCTTAGTGGCAAGCCTCATCTTTTTAGGTATGTCTTATGCAGGGGAATTTATTTCCTAGCTGAAAATCTTTACACAGCGTTGCCATGGACAGTTGGCATGTACACTGCACAGAAACACTGAGCCAAAGTGGCTGCTGAAATCCAGGCCAAGCTCTGCTGGCCACACCTGGGGCCCCAGAAAAGGACTCTTTTAGGCAATATACATAGGGGGCATAATTCACTGGATGTTCTTGGTGACCGTACAGTAAGAACTAAAGACATAATACCTCTTACTCTCCCCTCATAATCTGGACTGATTCATTCACTTCTGGTGTTATTCTAGCCATTTTCACAAATACTCAAGAATGTATTTTCACACTTCCTCATTTTTAGGTACAGAAGCAAAAAAAAAAAAAAAAAAAAGGCAACCTGGGCAACAGGAGGAGGAATTCTATCATGTTCACATATATTTGCTTCTATCTGGTGTGAGACAAATAGTGTGATGTAGGTGCTTAAAGGTCCCCTTTGCTGCATGGAACATTGAGCACAGGAAACTCTAAAGATATAGGTGACATATTTGCCATGACTAAGGATATCAGTACATGTTTCAGAGCGCAAGCCAGTGGTTTTTAAACAGTACTTTACAGCCATTAATTCATACTAGTGTTAGCACATGCTCCTGGAAACAAAACATGTCTGGTTTTTTTGGTTTTGTTTTTTTACCACATTTCCTCTTAGGCCCTTGATTAGATTATTAGGGCCTCCCAGGTCACCTACCAGATGCACTAGGTGTGGGGCACAGTCTGGCGATCTGCTGTCCTAAAGTAGGTGAACCCTACCACCCCATAGTCCCACAAGAAAAAAAATCATAGGTTTTTAACATTGGCAAGTCACTGCACTTACTGGGGAACTTAAGGGCTTCTTCTTCCTGAAATTTTGGCATAATCAGCCCAGGTTGTGACCTGGGAGTGGGACTTTTAAGCTATCCCAGGTGATTCTGATATGTAAGGGGTACATAACATTGCTCTAGAGAGAGAGGCTGAGCCAGAACCAATATTCAACCTATAGCCTTACTTTGAAAATAAGTGTCACTGCCTGTCCAATCCACCGAAATTTTACTGGGGAAAGCTGCATGTGAGTTTTGATAACATCAGCAGGTTGAGTTACCAATGAGGCCAGAACACCAGCAAATATCCCACAGCTGAAATTTACAATGGGAATAAGGGTTGCATCCAATTGATCTGAAATAGAACAAAGGCATCTTTCAGTTATAAATAAAGGTAAAAGGGCATCGTGTCTGCATCTTTTTAATGGTTTGGAGAAAGGTTTATATAGTAAAGAATAGTATAATAAAGGTTTATGGAATGATTTGCACTATCCTTTTGGTTTGTTTCATTTTTGTTAAGGGAAATGACTTCTAAACACCAAGTGGAAAGAAAAAAAATTCTGCAGATAGACTGAGAAGTTAAAAATGCACATCCAAGCTCCCTTGCTGACTTAACTTTCTACTGAAGCCTATAATGTCACATGTCCTGGTGCCTGGGAAGGAGTAGCAAATCTCCCCAGCACTCCCCCTGGAGCTGATCACCACTGCCACCGTGGTGCATTCTGGGAGAAACAGCCTTGGCTGCCATTCCGGCTTAAATTACTCCTAGATAACTTACCGAACACAGGTTCATTCTAAAGATAAGTTTCTATACTTCCTGGCTCCAGTGGGGTAGATGTTTACTACCCACTGATTCTGTCTAAGCCCTGTTCAAATAAGCCTCTGGCAAGGTGAGCCTACAGCAACACCTAAGGTTTGGCACCTTTTCTGCCACCCAAATGACAGGCCCAAAACTAAGCTGGCTGGGCACACAACAAGGTAGGGAAACCTCATCTTTTTGTTCAAGCTCTTCTTCCACTGGCATTTCCCAAGCTTGTTTGATCAGAATCACATCAAATGCTTCCTGAAAAATAGACTCTCAGGTCTTACCCTAAAGCTTCTAATATAGGAGACCACAGATGGGACCCAGCCATCTTAAGGTCAGGTAAATTTACAAACTATGCAGAACCTATGAAAAACATGCTCTAATCCAGGAATCACAGGGCTGTCAGTACATGGCTTTAATAGGTAGTAAGTGGGAAAGGGAGGGGCCACGTCCGTCATGTCCACTGTTGCATGCCAGCACTGGCCTCCCGCCCGAAACACGCTGACACAGCTCAGTTCTGCTCTGAACAACAAATCGTCTCAGGGAGATCTCTTCCCTACCACATCGCCCTTTATCCATACCATGGAGCACAACGTTTTTGGTCTGGTTGTAAAACATCAGGTAGATTCCAGAAAAGGGAGCATCGCGAAGGAGTGTTGCTGTCAGGCCACTGAAAAGGCCCCGGTGTCCCTCACTGCGATAAATGCTCCTCAGCGCCGTGTAGATGCTTGCGTAGCCGTACCTCCCGCTCTGCAAGGAAAGGACAGACCCGTGACTGGCACAGACGCCAGGCCTGCTACCCAGAGCGGCCCTGTGGGCCCATCAGCCGCGTGTGCCACTGTAAACCGGAGTGACACCTGTTTACCCACCCTGAGGACTCACCTCGTAACGTGTTTTGATCACAGTGATGGGTGACATGCAGACCCCTGCGACTGAGCGAGAGCCCATCCCCAGCATGATGGACTCCAGGGCAGTGGGAGGATGGCCTCGAAGGAAGTACTGCTTCGACGAGTAGAGAGTGCCAAAGTAGATTCCCACACCGGGGACACACCTCACAATGGACTGCAGGAGAAGACAGAGGGAGGAGAGGCATCAGGCTGAACGCTAAGCTACTGTCTTGGCGGGGTTTACCCGCAAGAGGACCCAGATTTGCATGCAATTATTGATTGGACATGTGGAAGAAACAAGATAGGAAAGTGGGGGAGACTGACGGAAGGCAGCCATGCAGGGAGTTTCCAACCAGCTACTGCTATGGGCAACTTGTGCCTTTGGGAAATCTAGGGATCCGCAGAACCTGAGTTGAGCAAGGGAGGTTTGATCTTTGATTGGTGGCGGGCCACTGTGGGGCTGGGCCAAGAATCAATCCCTGGTACATCTGGCAGAGTGGGCCAGAAAAAGCTGTCAGAAGAAATGCAGATGTGGGGGGTCTCAGCCTCTGGTGCTGCAGGGTTAGGGTCCAAGGGCAGGCAGACAGGCAGGGGCCACCACCTGTCTCTAGGGAGGCCCACCCGCCAAGGCCAACACCCAGAAACCCTTAAAAGGGAGGCTATGTGAAGCAGATGAGAAATCACTTAAAAGAGAGGGTGTGCAAGAGACAATCCAAAGGCAGCTTACAGGGGACATCCCTTTCCAAAGGCCCAAGAGACTCTCCGTGCGAACCACCTTCAGGAGCAGGGCCAACATCCCAATGCGTCTGGATCTGAGGGCAGACAAGGAGCCGGGAGAAGTCACTTAGGCTGTGGCCTCGTAAAAGAACTCACAAAGACCTCTTTGCGTGGATTCTTTTCTAGAACATGTAATCTCTACAATGTGTCTCGAATGAATGAGCTCCTGTGTGCTCCTGAGTTGGCACAGACACTGCAGGCCACGGGATAGCCCCACTGGACATATAGTTCGCATACTTCCCCGTGCTACGTCCAAAACAGGGGCACAAAGGAGCCACTCAGTGCTCGCATTATTCCCAGACACCCACCACGCCTCGTGCCAGGCAGCTCGGGCACGACACTAGATTAGCACAGCAAGAGGCAAATATCCATGAGGCAGATCTCCCAGGTGGGCTGACAAAGGATCGTAGGGCAAGTTGAACATAAAAAAAATATGCGCAGTCAAGAATATACACAAATCACACAAAAGCTGGGCATGGTCTGTGTTTCTCTTTGACCAGCTGGAAGAATGAAAGCCAGAGCGCTCCTGTGTCTGGGAATTCCTTAAAACCAGCTTCCCCGCAGGACGGGGGCTCACCCATGGGCCGAGGGCTGTAGCATCTGCAGGCGAGTCTTGAGGAGGTCCAGAGGCTGGAAAAGGAGGGCAGAGCAGGTCCCGCTGATAGCGCCACACAGGAAAGCTTTGATGGCGGGGTGCAACTGTGGGACAGCGAACGCGAACTCTTGTGAGCAGGGCGGCATCAGCACGCCCCAGCCTTCCACAGCCCAACCTGCTGGCTCCTCTGGAAGGATCTCACCTGGGGCACCTCATACTACTTCCACACTTCAAAGACGGGAAAGGTGCGGCCAGGAATGACCAGGGCCGGATGCTGGGAAGCACGCAGCAAGGCTAGGCTCTGGTCCAAGTCTAGATAGGAAATCATTTGCTCTTCCCAAGCAGCACACCTATTTTTTCATCTGTGAAGAATGCCACAGACCACACCTCCCCCTGACGATAGCAGTTACTAGCAAACTACTGAACAGAGAGTTTTAACTCCACTGGTTGTGGGACCTGCAGGTATTTACAAGGAGTCACTGTAAGCTCAGACAGTGCAAACGATACACGGCACTTCCTGAAAAACCGATGATTTCCTGAATTCGACGCTTTCCCTTCTCTTACACTCTCACTGGCCCTAAGCAGTCCGCAGACAAAAGCACCTAAAACCAGCAGCCACAGTTGGCTTTGCCGAATCCCCTTTAAGCCAAGCTCAGTGTCACACACCAGCTAATCTAAAGGCACCACCCACCCAGACAGGCAGGGCCCCCTCAGACCAAATGCAGTCCCTCAAGCACCCTCCCGAGGCTTCAGAACACCACAGAGTTCAACTGGAAATCACAAATGGTTGCAAAAGATTATTTCTAAAATTCCCACCAGCAAAGAAAAGCTCTCTTCTCTAGTGCAGATTCTTGAAAACACTATCAGAAAAGATCTCTCCTACTCATCACATGGCATTTGTAGCATTATTTGAAATAAGCAGCATATTTTTGTTGTAATACACTACTACATGATGTTGCCCGTTCAAACACCTCAAATGACCACCTCTGAGAACTAAACTTTTTGCAACCTATGGTGACAAAGAGAGCTAATTCGAAACTCCATCAGTCAAGTGAGTCTCAAATCAAGTAAATATGTAAATAGAATTACTTAATAGACTCTCAGGGAAGGACTAAGTAAGTTCAGGTGATAAATACTGGAGCTTATGATCATGTTCAAGCAGCATGTAAAGTACAAAAGAACAGTAATAAGTGACTAAAACAACTACGACCGGACAGAACGTGTCAGCTGGACAGCTGTGCTGGTGCCCCTTTCCCCTCTCCCGTAAGGAGGGTGCCCTGCCCCAACCCGTGTTCCCAAGAGTTCTGTGATCCCCAATCTCTTCCTAGACGCAGGACACCAGCCAGCCCAGCCTCCCTGAACGCGCAGACTCTCCCTTCCCTTTGCCTGAAACAATTTGAAGTCCGCCACTTCCAGCCTGATGCCACTACATCTCTACTCCTTCATCACTAGTTACCCCACAGGCCCCCATAATTTGCCACCAAACTACAGCTCCTCCAGTGGTGCCCCCAAGGGCCTGCTGCCACCCAAGACCCTATCCTGTTGCTGGCCTGCTCTTACTTGGCCTGTTTCCTGCATGTGAACGGGCTGAGTCACTCTTCTCTCTCCTTCCCAGCTGCCTCCCGAGTCTTCTTCAGCCGGCAGGGCAGGCGTTTCGGTTCCTCTTATCTCATCCTGGCTGCAGCCTCTCAGCACAGCCTGACTCCCACACCCCACTTCACACACACCCTCATCTACAGCCCCATCCAGCCTCAGACTCTCCTCCCTCCTCCAGTGGCCCACAGGCACCTTCAAGTCAACACTCCAAATCAGAAAATCACAATAATTCTGCCTCTTCTCCAGCCCACAGTGAAATATCCTGGCAGGGAATTCGGGACACACGCAAGACTCTCAACCTGCTGCTTCGTGACCAAGTCCTCTTCCCAGGGCCTGCCCCCACCATCCAGTGGCCTGCCTCCTTGGCTCCAGCTTCCAACGTGCTTCTAGAGTAGCCAAGGTGAGTCATCCAAACACACACCAACTCAAAATCTCACAACACTCTCAAGAACTTTTGCAGATGAAACTGGACCTCACGGGTTTCCAAATGTGTCCTAAACCGCATGCCCTGAAGCCACTGGCTGGGAATGCAAGTCCATGCCCTCTTCACCACATCCCCAGACTGAAGTGAAAGTCAAGGGCACTTCTCAGGCCTTCAGTAGAGCTCCACCCCTAACCAAAACTAGCTCCTTAAAATGCCGCTTTCCGGGTTCTCCCTGGTGGTGCAACGGATTAAAGCTCTGCACTATGAAGTTCTCTGAAGCCACTGCATCACGTGTTTTGATTCCCAGCTAGGGAGCTAACCCACATGGTGTGGCAGACCTCTCCTGACCAGCCCGCTGCTCCCCTCAGCAGTGTGTTTCAGTACATCTGCTGTTCTGTTCCTCACTCTGTCTCTGGTGATGCCTCTCACACACCTCTGGCCTGTACCCCAGTTCTGTAAACAAAAATAAATAAATCTTTTTTTTAAATAAATAAATCTTTAAAAAAAATGCTATTTTCCTCTGACCTCAGGGATTAATGCTGTCCTGGTTTCCCTCCCACACATTGGGCTTCCCCACCTTTAATTCTATCCAAACTTAGAACTTCTCGCTACAGTTTTAGACCCCTAGTCCATTTACTCAGATGTCCATAGGTGCTCAGACATTTCCAAACAGGTACTGAGCTTTCTCCCTGCCCCATCTGCTTCTCCAGGATGCCCTACTCTAGTGAATACCCTGCTCCCTACCCAGCAAGCTGCCCAGCAGAAACCTGGGCACCATGTTCCACAGGGCCTCTCAGCATGCACTCAGCAGCTCTCAGAATCACCTCCTGTCCAGCCCAGCTCAAAGCCTGGGAAAACTAGAATCAAGTCTCAGTGATAGACAAAGATGATTAGATCATCAAAGTGAGGATTCCCAATAGGGAAGCAGTTCAATAGATTTTACCTGCGGGAACTGTTCCAACCACCACCAGTTTGAGCTTGTTTATACAGGCTGGAACTGTGAGTGAAAATGTAATTGTAATGACTTTTAAAAAGATTTATTTATTTATGCATACAGAACTGGTGTATAGGCCAGAGGTACAGGGGCTGTGAGAGGATTCACCAGAGACAGAGTGGGGAGCAGAACAGGCGGATGTCCTGAAATTCACTGCTGAGGGGAGCAGCGGGCTGGTCAGGAGAGGTCTGCCACGCCATGTCGGTCACCTCTCTGGCTGGGGATCGTGCTGTAGTGGCTGCAATAGCTTCATAGTGCTGTTCTTTAACCCAGTGTGCCACCAGGGAGGGCCCTGTAATTGTAAAGATTGACATCAAAATGTAATTAATTAGGTGGGGGTGGTGGTGGTGGTGGTGGTGGCGTTCTGGTCCTATTTTGACTCTGAAGGCACACAAATACTGGGCTTTAATCTCTTTTCTGAAGACTGAACTGCGGTGATGCAAAAGCTGAATACCCATTATTTAAATCTTTATCCAACTCCTTGGTTATACCTGAGCGTTGAAAGTCTGTTTTTACCGTGAGGTGGTAGGATTTTGTACAGCTCCTTCAGACTTCTATGCAGTAGACGTGATTTACACTCCAGTCTGCTAGACCAGGCAGAGGGTGTCTCAGAACATCTCACAGTATGTTCACACACCATCGCTGGCCTTGGGGATGGCCACCCCTTTTCTTCACCCACTTGTGACCTCTTTTCTTTGCATCCTCTAGTCCCCTCTATACCCAGCAGCCACAATCACCTTTCGAAACAACAAATCTGACTACCTGAACTTCCAGATACCAAACCCTTCCATCACAGCTCTGGTGTTTTATATAATTTAAAGTTACCAATTGAATATAACCACTGATACATGAATTAGAAACCACAAAGTTTGTCTAAATGCCATTAATATGATTGAAATAAAGTTAAAAGGCAAAACAGCATCCTTAATCTTTCCATGTTCCTCTCTTAGGATAAGATCCAAACTGCTTACAAGTTCTTTTCACAAATCATGTGGTCCCTTCTTACCTTTGGACCTGTACTCTTAGCACTCTCCCTCTTACACAACCTGCAGCTATAATGAACTCCCTGCCTTCCCTTCACTATACAAGATTTTGCCTTAGCACCCCCCACCTCTAATTTGTCCTGAGGGGAGAGAGGGATGTGCTTAGACCTTCCCTTGCAGGGGAAGAAAATGTTCCCTAGCCCTAGTTAGCAAACACTCCTGTAGTAAAAGGTAGATTAGCAGGAGGAAAATAAAAGTTTACTAACATGTACACAACCGTGTACAAGGGAGAGACCCCAGGAAAGAGAGCAACTTGCTGAAATGGCATATGCCACCTCCTTCAATGACACCTTCAGCTAAAGACACAGGATGCTGGTGAGAGGGAAAAGCACGTTAAGGGAGGTTGCCCAGAAAGGCACAATAAACAAGGTAAGGTAGTTTGGTCATTGACAACATCTTGCCCTCCTTTAGAGGGAGACAGCCTCACAAATCGAGATTTTCATTTACACATATAAATATATAAATATCTCTTACAAAGTGCGACTTTTTTTTAATGATTTTTTTTTTAATGCATACAGAACTGGGGTACGGGCCAGAGGTGCAGGGGCAATGAAAGGATTTGTAACTGGGTGGTCCCTAGGTAAAGGGGAAGTTTCAGGTTCCCTGCCCCACACAGAAGGAGGGTGGAGCTGAGGAGAGAAGAAAAGAAGGCAGCAGGATAGAGAGCCAGGAGACCTGAGGAAGCCACATGGAGCAGTGAGCATGTGATGAAGAAACCGTGCTTATTTCTCGACCCTGGATCAGTTAAGGCAGATGTGGGTGAGATACCTGTAGGGAGGTGACTATGGCACTGTTTATATTGATTTTGATTTTGCTCTTTTCCTCCCAGGTTTGTCTGGCTATTTCTGACCCTTTTCCATGGGTCCCGACCAGAAGGTGCTTTAGTCTAGTGGCAGACTTTTACCCACGAGAGGATGGGTAACTTCAGGTGTTTGGTTTAGACATTATATTCTTTGTCTTTTGTATTGTATACTCATTGTATTAAAGTCCCTTTTCATTAAAGTTTTATATGTTTTATCTTAATGCGTCAGATAGCAGAACCCACTTAGAGCAGGCAGGTTTGGAGCTTCAGGGGTGTCCCTCTCTCCCTGCCCTGTAACAGATTCATCAGCGACATAGAGTGAAGAGCAGAACAGGCAGATGGATGAAGTACACAGCTGAGAGGAACAGTGGGCGGGTCAGGTGAGGTACGCAGCGCCATGTGGTCACCTCCCATGGCCACCTCCTAGCTGGGGATTGAACTCATGCAGAAGTGGCTTAAGCTTCTTAGTGCTGTGCTTTAACCCGCTGCGCCACCAGGAAGGACCCAAAAGTGTGACTTTTATTTAGTTTTCTGAGCTTTTCCTTTCTTTGTAATTTCTTTTTTCTTTTTGTCTGCCATTTCTTAAGAATAACCAGTCCATCCTTATGCCAAAAAAGAGGTGGCAAATTCTGCTTCCATACACCCACCTGCAGGTTCAGGGCTCCTCTCTAGTGCTTCCACAGCACAGGAACCCATCTCCCATGACTGAGGGTAGGGGAGGCCTCCAGACCTGGCTGTCCTGTGCTTCCTCCCAAGCCTGGCCATAGGAGGGGCTCAACTGTGAAGGATGAAAGGATCACCTAGCAGGTGTTAAACTATAATTCAGTAATGAGCCTGAGTTTTAGCTGCAAGTGAGAACAAAGCTGTTATTTGGGGGCTTGAGACTGCAGTCTGGAAAACACCACTGAGAGAAGGTCCTGTAAGTACTCCACTTTTATATATGGAGAAAAAGCACCAAGCTTTTATAGGTGGAGCTGCCTCCTACCAGTAAACTAATACATTTCTTTGAAAAGAGAACAAAAAATGCAAAGCTCTGATGCCTGAATATCAGTGTGGGACAGACTGTCCTCAGTGAACTTATGAGCTGAGTGCTTGTAAATCTCTGTCAGTATCTCGAAGGCTTGCATTGTCCCTCCAAAGTCCCTGGATGTATAATGGCTGTAAATCCACATTACTAAGTGCTCAGGTGTGGTAGAAGTTCTCAAGTTCTAGTCT